AATTGGCGACAAATTTTTTCCCAATCGTGACAAGGAGCAAACAGCGGGTGCTCACTCCTCCATGGCACCTGATCCCACCTCTGATATTTTGGAAGTCCGTGTATGCTCTGATCGTATTTTGTATTGTTTTATGGACTTTTGAGCTTGAATACTGTTCGTTATCTCCATATATTTCTACGTAAGAAAAGTGGCAATTTTGTTGTGCATTCATGAAAAATATTAAAACAATAATCCAGAAAACTCAGAGTAAAAATGTTCGAAAACGAAACCCACTCAGTCCGTATCTCACTCACTCAGTCAGTATTGTCAGTCCTTATCCAGTGGTGTGTGCAGAGTTAGACAATTGAACACACCCGGTGAATCAACAGTACATGTAACAGACCTCGTTTCCTGTTTCGTTTCACGGGTGAATTCAATTTGCTAAACTCTGTACACAACACTGAACACGATCATAGATGTAATATTTTCATTACAAAACAAAATTGCTTCTTTCTTTTTTTTAAATATTAAGGAACAGTTAAAATTTGTGAAAATTCTTACATTCTTTTGTTGTGTATGTAAAACGTCAGTCAACATTTTGCTGAAAATGTCATTGTTTCGATCACAAAACATGCCAAATAAGGCCTAGATAAATAAGTTGTGTGTTTCCGGTTCTCTGATCGACCCTAGAATATTGGAGCCGACCCTGAAAAAATTTCTGCCAATATCTTTCCAAGAGTAAACATTCCAGTGTTACTATTATATAGAAATTCTAATCTGAATCACTTCCCTGTTTGAAAAATGCATATCATCATACGCACATTAATAAGAAATATTATGAAAGCGATTTCTCCGGGGGGGGGGGGGTGACAGCGCGCTTGCTAATAAAATGTTTCAATAAACTAAAATGTTTTCCCTGGCTAACAACCCTATTTTTCTCAGGCTAGAATAAGAAACACACTATTTATTTATCTTTGCCTAATGACTTTAAATGAGACCATTGAAATCCTTCTTCCATCATCTTGTTTGCCATTAGAAATTGTTCTTTCGAAGAGCATGTGCTTCCGTACTGTGTTTATCATAAAGCTTTGTTGTTAGGTATCCATTAACGTCTTTTTCTTGTAAAATATCCAAATATGAAACACTGGGTAAATCGAGTCGATATATGCAAGGAAGTACTTTTTGATAATACGTTGCCGATATATGGAGGTCATGTGGCAACGCACTTTGAAAAAAAAATTCAATGTGAAAAAAAATTTCAAAGTGCGTTAAAATTGGGACAAAATCAACGCACTTTAAATTTTTTTTTCAAAGTGCGTTAAATTTGGGACACACTCAACGCACTTTGGAATTTTTTTCAAAGTGCGTTAGGAGTGTACATATGCATTTTTTTACCACGGGGACATTTTACGCACTTTGAAAAAATATGCATAAAACAAAAAATTCTAGACTTAGATTTAAGTAATTGAGAGAATCAATTTGTAATAATTATATCTTTCGAAAAACTTTTAAATTTACATGTATTCATTTAACCTCTGTGGCAACGCACTTTGAAAAAATTACGCACTTTGAAAATTTTTTTCAAAGTGCGTTAAAATTGGGACAAAATCAACGCACTCTGAACATTTTTTTCAAAGTGCGTATAATTTGGGACACACTCAACGCACCTTGAAAAAAATTTTCAAAGTGCGTTAAGAGTCTACATCAATATATTTTACCATGGAGACACTTAATGCACTTTGAAAAAAAAATCATATTTTAGTCATGGAAAGATTTTATTTGTTATTTATCTTTCAAAAAACTAAGCCTAACCCTAACCTCAAAAATGAATTGATTTACTCCCTTCGAAAAGAGGAGAAGACGGGTATAAGATCCCTAAATCCAAATCTTTATCTTTCCAATACATAGGTGTCGGTAACAAACGGGGGAGGGGAGCAATAAACCTAAAAAGGGTACGCTGCATTTTCAATGCTTATACGATGTATATATCTTTCCAAAATAAGTTGCGGGGGGGGCCCCCATCCCCTTCCCTGTCCCTTCGCCCATTTTTAATATACTCAAAGCATTCATATAATTATATATTTACCTAACTGGTATGACCTTGAAAACTTCCAATAATAAATGAGTTAATTAAAACTGATTAAAACTAGAAATTTTTAAGTACAGTAAAACGTATGAGAGAGAAAGCATTTTCATAGTTTTGAACAATCAAATTGGCCCCTTTTTATTATGATAAATGCTAAGTTGCTTGAAGCTGTCCTCTGTTAGTGCCCCCTATACACCTTTACATCTACTTATCAAAGACTTGAATTAAAAAAAAGAAGAAATGAATTAATGAACATAAACAATCGTCACTCTTTTTTTTCAAGACCCTTTAATTTTCCCTTTTATTTTATCAAAACCTTAAATATTTAAAACGTCAATATCTCAGGTCCTACAGTGACTTTATCATAAAAAAGTTATCAAACCAGGATCTGTTATTTATCATACCGATTATTTGAAGGAATATTGATCAATCTTTACATTTTTTTTCAAAGTGCGTTAATATGGTCGATATTAACGCACTTTGAAAAAAAATTATTTTTTTTAAAGTGCGTTAGCTTGGTCCCAAATTTTAACGCACTTTGAAAAATTTTTTCAAAGTGCGTAATTTTTCAAAGTGCTTTGTAACAAACCTCTTTAAGAACAAGGAGAAGTAGAGGGTCTCTCAGCTTAATTATTTTTTTCTTATACATTGTATATAGCCGTCGGTAGCAAATTGAAAGTGGACCCCGGCCCCCAAGGTAAGCCCAATTTTTAATGCCTTTAATATGTATATCTTTGCAAAACATTTGTGTGCCCAATCCGACCCCCTTCCGGTACCGATGCCTATGTTTCACTCACATATAATTATGTATTTGCATAACAAGTATGACGTTGAAAACTTTCAATAAATTTTAGTTTACATAAAATGCATGCAAACTGGAAAAAATGATTACAGTAAAACAATTATGAGAGAAAAGAATTTACAGAGCATAGAAAAATCAAAATCGCTCACTTTCATATCCTGAAGTGACCTCATCACCGAAGAGTTATCAAACAGGTTAAATTATTTATCATACCTAAGATTTGAAAGAATATTGACCAAGACATACACATTTTTCAAAGTGCGTTAATATGGTCGATATTAACGCACTTTCAAAAATTTTTTTATTTTTTCAAAGTGCGTTAATTTGGTCCCAAATTTAACGCTCTTTGAAAATTTTTTTCCAAAGTGCGTTGTAACAAAGCACTTTGAAAATTTTTTAAAAGTGCGTTAAGAGTGTACAAAAACATTTTTTTCCATGGGGACATTTAACGCACTTTGAAAAATATGCATATAAAAGTCTAGACTTGTAGATTTAAGTAATTGAGAGAATCAATTTGTAATAATTATATCTTTCGAAAAACTTTTTAATTTACATGCACTCATTTAACCTCATTGAAAACAAGGAGAATTTCATTTCATACTTGAATGTAATGCACTGTCAAAAATCAGGAAAAAGTATATTAATGAGTACTACTTTACTAGACCTAATATTTTGAAATTTTCTCAACTGATGACAAAACAAGATGCTATGTCGCTTAAAAAACTTTGTATGTTTATATCAAAAATATACGACTTAGTCTGTCCTCCATAATTTGTTCCCCTTATTTATTTCATTATTACATGTTTTATTTATTACATTTTTTTCTTCATTTTCTTTTTCCATTTTTCTCCCTTCTCATTTTCTGATTGTGTATATCATATACTTATACCTCTGACCTGATTATATATATACATGTTGTAAATATTTATCTTTGTCCTCATGTACCATGTATTTAATATGGTGTTGAGCGAATAAATGAACTTGAACTTGAACTTGAGAGGAGAAGAAGGTTTCTCAGCCCAATTCTTTTTTTTCTTATACATTGTACATAGCCGTCGGTAGCAAATTGAAAGTGGATCCCCCCTCCCAAAGTTAAGCCCCAATTTTCAATGCCTATATTATGTATATCTTTGCAAAAAATTTGGGTGACTAACACCCCCCCCCCCCGGTGCAGATGCCTATGTTACACCCAAATATATGTATTTGCATAACTGGTTATCAAACAGGTTCAATTATTTATCATACCTAAGATTTGAAAGAATATTGACCAAGCCATGTACATTTTTCAAAGTGCGTTAATATGGTCGATATTAACGCACTTTGAAAAGAAATTTTATTTTTTCAAAGTGCGTTGATTTGGTCCCAAATTTAACGCACTTTGAAAATTTTTTTCAAAGTGCGTAATTTTTCAAAGTGCGTTGTAACAAGGCCACGTTATTTTGCAACTGTTTGCTTCTCCTGTAGATCAATTAATTGTGTATGTGTTGTTTAATGTCCCATTCGAGATTTTTTCACTCACATGAAGACGTCACCATATACCGGTGAAGGACTGCAAATTTTGACCTTTACTCGGCACTCAGAGCCATTGATCAGTGAGGGAACTTTATCGTGCCAGTGTCTGCCATAACACAGGACCTCGGTTTTTTAGGTCTCGTTCGAAGGACCTGCAACTTTCACTTCAAAGTCAATTAATGCATCTTAGAAAGGAGGTATGATTCACCCTACATTTCGTCCACTGTATCCATTTTGACAATATACGAGTATTTAAAAAAATTTTCAATTAAAATGAGATTTATGTACAAATTTAGAATTAAATGGTTTCTATCACCTTTCATATCTGGCAGTTGGAACCTGCAAAGCTAGAAATCAACTCCATACTCTATAATTATAGAACAAATCAAGATCTTCGCTTGAAACACTCCACCATGCTGTTGGTGACTCGAACAAATGGATTTGTATACAAATGGAATCTTTGAGTCAATCAAAACATATAAAATGCACTACTATGTATTTCAAAATAAAGTATTGATTAGAATTTCAACTTTCCAATCGAGTGTTTACCACAACCACACAAACATACTGTTGATTCTATTGTTTTATTCATCAATAAGTAACACATATTTCCACAACAAACAACATGTCAACAAATAACAACACAAACATGTAAAGCAATAAATAAGCACTGAAATAAAGTCACAAATTTTCCACAATCTCGGGCTATTTCAAATTGTTTATCCGCAATTTCAGTTCGTCAAAAAATCAAACAAAATAAGTGTTACCGTAGTGAGAACAACCATTCACCTGAAATCCGTTTATTATGAAACTGTGGCACATGGAACATGGATGAATCGCCTACTCTTTTTTGCGGTAAAATTTTTGTAGCCTAAGTATTGTTATGAATCAGTTTCTATTCTAAAGCGGTCTCATCGTTTTAGAAGCACCTTTGTAGCTATAAAAACTCTTAAACAACCTTAAAATGCATTCCATAGATCATTCATTCCCACAAGAGTATGGCATTCAAAAAATTACGACAAAAATGGATGTTTCTCAGAAGATGCTGAACAGTGCTCTTTTGCTTTGATTCTTAAATTGTCAATACTAGAAATCCTTAGGTCAAGAGATTCCTGATTTAATGGTAAACGCCCAGGACCGGAACTAGGTATGCCTGAAGAAGACGGGCCGCTTCCGCCGAAAAAAAGTCCTGGAAATCCGAACGCATTAGAGGTTACTGGGTAATTTGGAAAGAGACCACCAAAAGGAAACTTTCCGTGAAGTTGATGAGAAGCAAGATTTCCCATATTTTGTTGATACAGGGCTAACATAGGATTCATTCCTGTGAGATGGGACACTCGAAGAGACCAGAGATGTTCCGGAGAACTTGGGAAGTTGATTGTGTGTGGAATGTGTGGTGTAACGTCGCAGAGACTGGGTGTGGAATCAGACTGAAGGAAATTCGGACTCTCTCTCCCCATGGCCTTTTCCCGTTTTCTCCACTTAGCGCGTCTATTTTGAAACCATACCTACAAAGAAAAAAGGCTGTTTTTACAGGCTTTCAACAACGAGGCAGTAAAGTCATTTTCCTTCATTATTTGTTTTTGTTGTTTTGTCTTCAGGGGACTTGGAAAATGTATTAGAAGAGAAAATTCAATCAGAAGAGTTTCCATTATATTATCAGAACCTGATAAAAAGTTAATTTAGCACTGATTCAGGGAATCGAATCTTAATTACAGTCTATTTTAGCTTCGGGAATGCCTTAATGAAACCGTGGCGCTCAAAAATTAACATTTCGAGAACTTCTTCATGAAATCGTGTGTTTGTTCTTTATTGTAAAGTGCTTAAAGCAAACGTCTTGAAGGAAAGAAACGAGGAATAATCAAAGGAAAAAGAGACAATTTTCTTTTAATTCCCCAATTTTCTACACGACTGCTCTTTGAACACTTCACACTATATTAGCTACTTGTGGGATGGCAAACGAAATTAATATCCTGTTTTTCTATTAGATATTAATTTGAAGATGAACTGTATTAAATTTACTTATGATAAAACATTGACATTTTGTCACCAATAGTACGTGTTCATAAAGCAGAGTATAAACTGTGAGATTCAAATACTAGTAAGTCTTTGAATCTTTGAATGCAATTCAAAAGTCTTTCACCCAATACAATCTTTTTAGAAATAAAGAATTTTCCAGATAAAACGTGAAAACAAATTCGAAAATATATATTTAGAATAGATTCATGATATAAAATAAAAATTCCAACGGAATGATCTTATATTTGGTGGAAATGGCTAGGAAAACAATTATTTTCTTTTATTTTAATTATCAGGTAAATGACAAATTATTGCATATGTTGGAAATTTACCTTTTTATAATCATTGTATTCTCCTCACCCCCCTCAAGCATTTACTTCAAGTAACTTAGTGAGGAGTGCTTATATTAATTATAGACATAAGATCCGATTTTATATATTTAAAAAGTGCAATAAAGATGAACTTTACAAACAATATTGTCTTTCACTAAATTAACAATTTTCAATTGCCAGGGAGTACATGACTTATTTTAGTCACGTAGTCAATGGAAATTGAAAATTGTTAATTATTGAAGGATAATTTCATTAAATAACACGATTAATTTCTTTTATATTTAAACTTTAAAGAATTATTAGCATTCAGTTTTCATAACTTTCAAAGGTAGCCAATGACATCAATTTCCCACATTAATATTGATTGGTCTTTATTTTTATAAATGAATGTGTCCTGATTAATAAAAAAAAAAAACTTGAAAAAGGTATTTCCCCGACAAATAAAATATCATTGGTCAGTTGAATTGTCGACTCTACAAGTACACAACGGTGACGTTGCAATGGTACACTAATACGAATATATCAATAGTATGACGTTGCTTATCCTGTAACTGAACTATTCAATATGGATGTAGACTGTATATTCCACATCAGAGGAAGAAAATAAGGTATACACGATGGGGAATCCAGATTTGTGTAGAAATGTTAAGTCGACATTATGTTATCTCCTCGCAAGGAGTTGGAGGGGGGTATAGTGATGTATAGTAACGCTTTCGTATGTGTTGGTGTGTGAGTGAGTTAGCGCTGTACGAAACGGAAGTGGCGTAATTTGCATCGGAATCGGGAAAAAAAAACTGCCAAAACGAAATATTTTACGAATATGATAGAAAATTATATTCGGCAGTGAACTGAAAAAGAATTTAAATTATCTAATAATGTAAACTTCATTTAATAAAACAGCAACAATATGATTAAATAAATTCAATCTAAAAATGTGGACATTCCTTTTCTTTGCAGAAGGGCAGCGCTATTTCGAAATATCTTACGTTTTCCAGACATTTTCATATTTTGATATTTTACGTATCAAAATCGTAGAAAAACCTGGAAACCGTCAGATATTTTGGACTTTATTTCCACCAATTTAAAATCTAAAAGACTCAAAGCATAATAAAATCTAAAAAATATTTGAAAAAAAAGTGGTGAAATAGAGACGATGTATGTGCTTACTTTACCAATCATTTTATATCGATTGAAAAAGTAAAAAGAAAATCATACAAAAAATTGCACACAGACACCCACGCAATTCTTGTTTGACAAGGATGTATTATAGGAGGGATTGCGAATATGCCCCGATGTGTAGCGTCAAGATATCTTCGTCTAGAACACCATATTATTCAAGTAATCCTAACGTAATTATAACACCCTACCCGTCCTCGTACAAATCCTATTGTCACACGTCTACCCCATTTCGACGGTATCTATGTTATTTTGACGGCAGGGGAGGCACCGATCGTTTTGGAATCAGGTGTGACACGGCTAATTGTAATCTCTTTTTAAAGGTTTTATCCAATCTAGTTTCATTACTCCTTTTAAGAGGACTCCATGCACAGCATCCTCTCACCGGGGTCTAACGTGAAGATTTAATCAAACAAATAAACGCTTGAAACAGATAATGAATGACTAAAATTATACATCTCAACATGAGGAGGATAATCAGATAACAATGGTCGGGGGACAAAAGAGGCCTGTAATTCCTGGCATTCTTATTTTCCGTCTTTTGTCCGCTAAGTGTCTTTGGTTGTGGAAAAATATTTGTCATTTTTTCACCAGTTAACTGTTTTATTGAAAAAGAGAGCTCGCATCCCACTGATATACCTCGCGGGATGCTCGGGTTTGTTCTGCATTATAGCTATTTTCTACAGGCACACGTGGAGAAAATTCTAATCTGATCCGATTTAATCCTATTCGTAGTATTTATGACTAAATCAGATTCAAGAATTAAAATAACAAATATTTTTTTAAGGAAAATCCAAGACAAATGGTCTCTTGTTTAATTAGAGCAGGCACTCATCAAATAAGCTTTACGGCGATGAGAAAAATGAACTCGGTTGCAATACTGAACAATTGTATTATAGTTTCTGTAAAATGTTTTGCATTATTGTCTAATTATCATGGCTGCATTACAAGATAAACAAATTTCACTTAAAGGTGCTAAATGACAAACAGATAAAGGGATATAAAGAAAAACATCCGTGTCATCAAGTCAGTATTACACGGCGAAAAGTAAATATTGATAAGAATCGCACTAAATCTAACTTGATCTGATTACAACTCTTGTATTGAGCACCGATTAGTTTATGATTATATTTATTCCAGTAAGAAGGAAAATATTTCTTATTATAGACAAACACAAACAGGATCTAACTGCCATATGCCGCGATATTTTGTAGCTTATTTTGTTCCAATCACCTGGGCAGTTTGAGTTTACTGTCTTGCATGAACTTTTGCATCAGTCGAGAAAATATTGAAAAATTTCTTTCGCATCGTTTTTTTTTTCTAAACTAAGCAAACTAAATTCGCTTTATTGTAAAATTAGTTTTTGATAAAATAGTTTTATATATTTAAGCATTTAGAATCAGTTGAAAAACCTCTTTTCAGAAATTTGTTAATGGATTTATTATTATTATTGAATTGAATTATTACTTATCAATAAAATAAACTACCTGTATAGAAAGTTCCTTAACATTTATTTTCGCAGGTCTTTACAATTCATGCAACATGTACGAAGAAAATTCACACCATTTAGTGTCTTATTAATTTACCGACAAATTCTCTTAATGTCATTTTCCTTATAGGTGTTAAAATTCGCGAGGTTATGGTAAATATGTGTGAACTTTTGATTCATCGATTATATGTAATTTTAAAGAAAAATATAATTTTGAACGGAAGGACAAATTTCCCGTTTACGCGACTTGCTAAGATTCAAGAGGAGATTGGAGCCCAATAAGTATCTATTGGATGAAGAATAATTTGTTCTTTGAAATGACGCTTTCTCAAAGTAATTTACCTGTACACGCGCCTCGCTGAGATCAAGCCTCATTGCGAGTTCCTCTCTGGTAAATACATCCGGGTACTGGGTCTTTTCGAAGGCGCGTTCGAGTTGATGAAGCTGGTAAGTTGTAAATGTCGTCCGACTTCGGCGGATTTTCCGGGGCTTGGAGGAGAAGGATTCGTCTGAGGCGTCGTCTCCTTTGTCTGAGGAAGTGTTCAGCGAGGAAACGTCTGTTCCCTCTAGGTACCTCTTTTCTTGTCCAAATTCTTCTGGTGTGGCACAGGGCGAAACTGAAGTATCGCTCGTACAATCATCCCTAGGACTTGGAGAAGACTGAGCTCGAGGCTTTCCTGAAAAATGCAAATGCTTGCTTTTCTAGAGGAGCAAAAAACAAAACAAACGCACAAACAAAGGACTAAACTCTTGTTCATTTCTTCATTTCTTTCACACATTATTAAGTTGTAGATATTTACAGGTAAGTGGTTCCTGACCAAAGAAAAAAATTTCTACTCCCATTTAAAATTGTACTTGTTTCTCATTTTGGGAATATATTGTGAACTTGTAAACTGTCGGTATATAGAAAAAGTCTAAGATCTTCATTTAACAATTACAGCAAATTGCACAACTTTTTTGTGTTAAGAAATATTGAAAACAAATATATTATTATCGATCTGTTTCTTAGACTTATCAAAATATAAATAATAATTATGAAGCTTATTTTCAAATTTAAAATATGTTTTAAAAATGTTGATTGATCTTAGAAATGATATGAAATCAAAATTAATATACCAGATAGTCAAAAGAAACTACCCATTAATCCAAGAGTCTGAATTATTTTAAGTTTAATTTGAATGATGGAGGATATAATCCTCATAGACCTCAGACATATCTTCATTTTTTTAAGTTTTTACTTTGGAACTGAATTTAAGGATTTATGAATATGAAATGAATGTAAGAAAGTTGAATTTTCCCGGGTTATGTAATTTATTTATTTATTTTTTTTAAAAAATATTTTCCATCAATACCGTTTTGACTCTGGACTATTTGAATGATGAAACTTTCATTTAAGAAAAAAAATTAGTATGCATTACCCCATTTTTCTTTGCTTTTCTCTTTTTTTAAAATTTAAAATAATGTGTACTTAATTTCAGCCAATAAAAGTGAATTCTGTTATTCTACATTGTAATGTGGAGAGAAGAATACCTTGGGGAAATTAACACCCTTTTTGAAAAGAAAAATTTGATATTTTATCGAAATACCTGCATTAATCAAGACATAGATTACAGATTGATGGGATTTTTTTTATACTACTACTTTCTTTTTAAAGTTCATAGTGATATTTTCCTAGTTTTATAAAAATGATTTAATGTAGTCATTATTTGGAATGACCTAGATGTATTTCCTTTTCAAACTGTTACAGCTTACACTGGCTTCCTGCAACAGCGTATGTCTTTTATTTTACTTTATTTCTTTCATCCTTTCTCTTTTTCATGAATTATTAATTAACTTTCTATTAATAACGCACACAAACAGGGGGAAAGGGATTCAAATGTTGGGGGGAGGGGGGGGGGTTATCAAAACATTGATATTGTTAACTTAAATAATGTTACAATTAGTAAAGGAGAATTCAAATTGTAAACAACAGCTTAATATTCCCATTATTAATTATAAATCTGATAAATAAAAATCATTTTTGTGAATGAAATATAAAATAAAGATATTTAGAATGGTTTGTTTTTACTCACCGTCAGGGCCGCTTGTAATGGTTGAAACCTCTGTATCTTCGTCTTCTAGTGAACTCTTTCGTAGGATACTGTCCATGCTGAAAGATACAGCTGGTTTGCTGGCCACACTGCCGGTCGTAAGGTCCATTTTTCTTAAATAATTTGTCTTCTTCAAATGTAACTTTCCCAACTGGTCTTGCTTTATCTTATAAGAAGCAATATGTGAAGGTAGTCCACGTTTCCTCACCAACTTTATTCTGTAATTATTTAATCACCAATGAAATGATAAAACTGACGCTAATTAGCCAATATCGATAGATTTTTTTTTAAAAAAATGATCGCTTTTCTGATTGGTCAACCGATACTCGAGCGAACCTGTTTGTTTTCACTGGGAGTAACCGCGTAAGCTTGCAACAATGTAATCATATCATATTCTACCATTCTAAGAAGGGGGCGTATCCTTAGTCTTTATCAACAAATGAGGGAACGAATAGGCGCCTTTCGCATAATGTCTGCATTTGCCATATCATTATTAGTTTAACGAGAATCGCATTGAGAAGCTTCTTTTCAAAGAGATTTTACTCGCTAATCATTGCTCTGATTGAGCGATGTTTTTAGTTGAGAAAAATAATTATTGATATTTTGAACTTAGCCGTTTTACTGACACGGAATTGTTAAAAATGTGTTTTGAACATCTTTTACGGACAAAAAAATTGCACTTAAAGTCACCTGCATTTTATTTATTTTATTTCATGGTCAAAGAACGCCTGAAAAAAAATGTTGCTTCTTTTTTTTATGGAATTTTCAATTATTTCATTTCATGTGGACATGGGGAAAGAAAATTAAAAGAAAAAGAAACCAAATAAATGTGCTTTTCAAATAATATTTCTAATTCCGCAACTTTTTTTAATTTTTAAAGTTGGGTGTCCTTTCTACATGTACCGATAGACATCAAGCAAAGATCGTGCTAATTGAATGGAATATCGTGTTTTCCTATTGTCGTTGAAATGTGGTGAAAATTAAAAGACCACGCAAAATATTTAATTTTTAGAAATAAAGAACTAGATATATGCATTATGAAAAAAGGAAGTTTTGTTTATTGTTGTTAATATAATTTACATATATATATATTGAAAGACAGGTGATTCTTTTGTAATCAATTCAATAATCAGGGATCAATTTCTTTTCTTATTGTCATACTTAAGCAGAGAATCAATAAACAGAAATCAAAAATTAACACCCCGTGAAATAGACAACGGCGGCGGTCACACCTTCTTATTTACCTAATTGATAGATAACAAAACCAAAGTGTCAGCGGCTAAATGCCAAAAATATACCATAAGTTCAAACACGAAAAAAGTCAACAGATTTCGAAAAGGACCACCCCGCGGTGCACGTTACCTGCAAATTACTTTATTATGAAATAATTTCCCTTTAATTATTGCTATATTCAAATACTTGACCACTCGTTGATTTCCAATCTAAGTTTGGTCGAGAGTTTGTCGCGCCTGATGTCAAAGAAACAAAGACCATCGTTAGTGTCACATAGGGCTTACAGTCTGACCAATCGTCTTACTGCAATCGGATCGTACCGTTGTTTTGTAATCATCTTTGATTAATTACAAAGACTTAAACAAAAGACTTTATAATAATATTCAGCCGTACACGAGGTTAGATGTGTGTATTACACTTCAGTTCCAGTGTCCGCATATTCAAAGTGTTCAATATAATAATATTGATAAAGTTTTAATTAAACGAATAACATATAATAAGTTGATATATCTGTTCTGACATTCAAATAATTTTCAGAAATTTTTCTCTCCTTCGTGCACAGTGTTTCTGGTATCGATACATGAAGAAATACAGTATTATAAAATTATATTTAACATCTTTGCAAATTGGGCAGATATTTTCATACAATTTGACTTTACATGTACATCTTTGAACTGTTAACAGGGAATACGCGAATACTTATACAAAATAAACTAATATATAATTAAGAATATGGCATTAAGAAACGCAAATTGCTTTTTCTCAGTAAATATACTAACTTATATAACGCTGTAAACTTTTGAACTGTATTCGATAGGATTGAAAATTTCATCCATGAAAATACGTCATATGACTTTTTGAGGAATTTGATTAGTCTGAAAACTCCAACACTGTTGAAGAAAAGTATGAAGGAATAATACATGAGTGTAAAAAGAATAAATTAAACGGGTTACAAAACAACTGGGAAATTCCACTTTGGCTATCTAAACTTGGGATCCATGTAATGATGAGAATAAATTAATTACACGTAGGTTTATGTGGGTCGTTGTGCTAGACTGTTTTATACATGTATAAAAACTATTTCCTCATTATTTTTATCAGTTATTATTCATTCATTCATTATTTCAACTATGTTAAAATTACTAATGCTATTTTATTAAAAAAGAATTACTTGTAACATTTCAAATTCCAGTTACAATAGTCTGTCTTGAAATAAACAAATAAAGATCATTAATTTCAGGGGTGTCGATTTTTATTCCGTGAAGTGAAGTTGAGACACACGAAGCGCGTCGTCTTCGCTAGCCAAGGGCTTTCGATCCGGTCTGTTCCCAGTAAATTTAGTTTATGGGGAGCAGAGCGGACCGAAAACCCTTGGCAGGCGAAGATGGAAGCACGCATGAAAGCCTGAGAAAGGCCACCGCGAGCTCACACCAACTGGCTTAATAAGAGTGAACCAGTATAATTTGCTTTACCGGATGTCAATACAAAGTACACCCACTGATTATGTAAAAACCTAATTTTATGTACATGTACTGTGATATACATTCTTATTGTATAGTATCCTTTCAATATGTTGATTATAAATTGAAAATGGTGTCATTTTTTCTAGGATTATTGCAAATTTATGTTGCAAATGAAATGTTAATTTGTATATTCATTTTGGAAATTTTGAACGGAATCACTTTTGGCTTTTCGACTTCAACATTTCCCACTAATAGTAAAATGGGAGTATAATACATTAATTATCAAATAAATATATTTTAGTACACATATTTTTGAAAATAAATATGAAATTTTAGTTTTACAAATTGACTTCCTGAATAAGTTTTTTTTATTAAGAAATATGAATCGGAAAAATAAAATTCGCAAGAACAAGGAAAACACAGAATGATATTGCGAGACTGAAATCCCGATGCATTTATTTCTGAAGGTTTCAAATCATTTAATAATCTTTATATGTTTGCTTAAAAAATGCTATTTTTGAAAGCACGAACGCCACGAGCATCGCGCTTGAGAACACCATCTTTGCGACAGTAATTCTATTAGACAGAATATTTATCCATTAAGAAATGATATTATCGCATGCTAGGCGACGATTAAACGTCCGAAGGACCGGCATCCGTTTTATCCGTACCGGAAGTTCCAAGACGTGGTTTAAAATCAACGTGCCTGGAACTTTAGACACTGTTGCGTGCATTGGGATTTTATTAAACAATTAATTGAAATCACAAGAGGACCTGAATGGGTTAAACGAAGCATACATCGACTAAATGAACTGATTGTGTTTTTGTTGGATTTAAAACAATGTCTTCTACTTGACCGAACATTCTATTTCATACCCAAATTACCAGATATCCTTCTGTTCTCAGAAGGAAAATTATCTAATACTTTGTTTGAGAGATAGCGCTAAAAGGATGAAAAAAATTGCTGAAGGATTGTATACGTTTATATTTTAAAAATCCAATATTCAAAAAAAAAAAAAAAAAAAAATTGTAAAGAATTTGCTTAAAAATTTTCAATATCATTTCTTTAAAAGGTATATCAATTTTCGTTCAAGTAATAATATGATATTACTTTAAAGAGCAACAAGGAAAGTAATAAGTATGAGTAATACTTAAGAAAAATAATTAATAAGCATCTATTTTTAACAGATACACATACTTAGGTATGTTTGAACACGTGCTTCTTCACTATATAATCGACCAGCTGATTTATATAACATAAACCATGGCGTATTACAGTATCTAATATAACAAACAGACCTCACAGAATTTATTGTACAAAACATGTAAATACCGTAGCGTATGAGAGTAAATAATATACAAACAGGAATTATATGCTTTACAGTGTTACTGTAATTTTACTGTTTAACGCTGTCAAAACTATTGCAAATAATTTGATTTTTTTTTAAGTCCAAGAGATATAATTCTGTCAAAAATGGATCGACTGTACCCAAAACAGAACTTCACCTA